TACATACGTATGCACATACTTATGTACGAGTATATTCCTTTATGGGCCATATATGTATTTAGACAAGCAAGCCAGCAAACTCGCTTTCAACCATGTTTAGCAAAAAAATATTATGCAAAAAATTAATACAAAGCAAACAATGAAAATTGCAAATAAAAAAGCCGTTGCGAACACCCACTAACAAATATGAATGCTCGCAACAGACGCGGAATTAAGGAGGAATGAATGCCTCGCAGTTCGCCCAATTCTACGGCTCATTTATCACTTCCACAGTTCATGACAATTTTGACCATTTTTTGTGCTTTGTTTTGTACGCTCCTCGTTTCCCCATTTTTTTTCGCTCGTTTTTGCACTTTTGTGGCTGCCTCGTAACTGTTTGACTTGAGAAAAAAGTGCATATGGCACACTTTAGTCAGCAGTCAGCCGAATGCAAAGCGGCATAAGTGGTCTAGGAGATAAAATTTCGAATGAAATGTAGTATTTATTATGGGGGTTAACTAATATTTAACTTTTTTAACGTAATGACTGTGAATGAACTAGCCGAAGCAAAAGCTTAAGGAAGTTCTATACTTTTTCAATGCCACAAATTCACTCATATTTAAGATTTTTTCCATATTTACCCGTGCCTTAGGTAAAAATGTGTTTATCTCGTAAATAGAATAGAGCATTTCAATATTTGTAATTGGATATTTTCGTACTGTGGATTCGGGTAGGCAAGCGAATAAATTTTTCCCTTTCAAGTCGAAAGCCAATACTGCATTCAATCGATCGACACAGTTGCTTTGTGAAGGTTGGTGAATAAAAATAGCGGCTATGGTACGCCAATTACGTAAACCAAAGCTCAACAGCATAAAACCTTTAAATTTTGTGTACAAAAAATCTTTGGTGGACCCTGACTGCATCACTCTATGATACAACGCCTCCGTTTCCATCTTTCCGATAATACGGAGGAAGCGATAGTTACGATGTTGCATGAAGCTGTTTGGAAGAGATATTAAAAAAAAAAAGGTCACGAGTTCACCAAAAAAAACTGACGGATTTAAGGGTTTAAGAACTAAAGTAGGTCTATCTAATAAGTACTCTGTTGATCGACTCCAAAAAAAAAATATGTGTAGCTCAAAATTGCGTTGGCTGTACGCCGCTTTCCCATATGGAATTTACGTTCGCCCGAATCGTATGTAAGAGTCAGTTAGCTCAATGTCTTGTCACAAGACTAATCCTCAACGTCGGTGTGCTGGCTCGGCACTGGAACAAATCTCTCAGCCCCTCCACTGCGTATCTAACTGTTACACTTTTTCAGTGTTAGACATGGAAAACCTGTAGTCGAGGCTCAGATTTTGAATAAGTAGCTACGAGGTTCGGAAGGTGCAGCTCAAAACCGAAAGCATTGCTTAGTTATATATTTTGCCATATAAGTACCTCTTTCAGTCCAAATATTGATCTCTTCTTATGTGATCCCTCTTTAAAATTTTTAAATAAAAGGCAATCGAAGTCTGTCATGAAAGATATTTTCAGCAATGTCATGAATGTGTCATTCCATTTCTATGATCCAGTTCAGCAAGACTAACGTGACCAACTATTTCATAGCTCAAAGAAATACAAGACCTGACAACCAAAAATAGTATGAAAGCAATGAGAAACTGGTAAAAGCAAAATATACAAAAACGTTGGCAGTATACCAATTCAACAAATCAATTTTGTTAATTAAAAATTAAACTTTATTCAATACATAATAATACAAGCTTATACCCAAATTCATAAATTGAGTTTATTGGATTAGTTCATTGAAAGCAGTTGAGCTGAAAAGGTGTTTTGGTAGAAAACACCCACTAATGAGGTTGCCGCAATGGTTGCCTCGTGTGTATTGAACAAGGAAAATAGGTTGCCTCAACCCGTTGCTTCAACGGTTGCCCCGTGTGTAATCAACATAAAATTAATTAGAAATCTCTATGGAATTTTCTTTGTTTGTTTCGCCTGTTCTCCTAGCCTAGAAACTTTTCATAGAAACAATCTTCTTGTTTTTATGTGCTAAGTACGAAGTACATCGACTCAAAAAGAAGTACTGTACTTTCGAAAGAAGTACGGTTGGTCACATTAAACAAGACCCACGCGGCAAATGGGAGAGGTTTGGCCTAAGATTGTTGAGGTTTGTTGTTGTTGTGCGGCTACTAAACCCAACTCGGGTCGGCTCATCCATCACCGGTGTCGACAGGCTCAGCTATAGGGAGGCCTAAGAATTGCGCAACTTCCATTAGGTTTGTCCATGGGGACAGGGGCGTTAGCTAGGTATGGTTTTGGGGGCATGCAAAGAGGTGCCGTGAGTCATGTGGCGACTCTCCGAATGCTAGGCGCTCATTGGGCACATCTGCGTTCACTCTGCTCAGGTACGAGTTTAGCCTGCTGCATTATCCAGAGCGAAGTTGGGCTATTGTGGTGCGAGTCGACTCTCCCGAGGCAGACAAAGTTCTGTCTCGTCCTCGTGGTGCGGTTGTAGGCCCAAAACGGCATTCTAACTCCAGGAGTCTATGTAACTCGAGACCGACTCCCTGTCAATGCCGTTTAAGGCCTGTAAGGTATGCAGTTGGGTCCAGAGGTGTTTTTTTTAACCTCTGGACTTCGTCCATCAATTCGTAGAGATGCCGCCTAATGTACCTTGTGCAAACAGTTGTCTCTTCGGGTACCCGCGTCTGTGGCACCCTACTAGGAACAGCTTGCAGAGCATTGTGTTATGCTCCTCGATGGGAGCATCTGGACCTCGTCATGTAGGTGGTGTTGAGGCGACATCAGAAGGCATCCAGTCGCGGTCCGGAGTGCCGTGTTTTGGAATGTCTGTAGTTCCGTACGTTATTGCGTTGGCAATGCTACAAGATGTTTTCCTAGACGCAGTATTCTTTAAGGAATGTCATTCGCACCGACTGCGTGGTCAGATTCAGGCATCCAGCTATTTGGGCATGGCTAACCAAACCATTCTCACCCTGCAGTGAAAAATTATCAATTGTTAAAACTAACCAACTTATAGTTAGCTTTTTGGCGAGATTTCGATTAATACCTCACTTTTAATTAGCTATGACAAAACCAACTTAAAGTGAATTGTAAAGTCGTGCAGGAGTCATGCAGACGCAATCGGGAGTTGGTTTTCATTACAAGTTTCTATTAAATATCCTCATACAAAAATTACTTTCAATACACTTTTTTTCTGAACTTCGCAGATTCTTTTTCATATTCAGGACAAATAAAAGGAAGATCGAAATTTTATTCTATCATTTTGAAGTTATGTCTGACGGTGTTCGAATATGGGGCCACCCAGAGCAGAATATGTAAACAAATATGAAATGTAATAAAATAAAGTAAATAAATAAGTAAATAAAAAAGTAAAAAAACAAAAAAATATTTTTTATTTTGTTTTCTTATTGATATTTTATGTCCAAAAGTAGTTAGTTACAAGTTAGTTGACATGTAATGCAGAGGTATTCAGGTCTGACTTTTTTGCGGCCATCGCCCCACAAAAGTAGTTAGCTTTTTTCGAACGAAATACACAGTTAATAGTTAGCACTAGTGTTCGCGTAAACAGACTAAAGTTAGGTATAAGCTAACGTCACTCCCTGCAGGGCATTTACTTATTTGATGTGGGTTACACTACATTGGTACTGCACTCCTTTTATATATTCTAATAAAGTTAAACTTTTTTAAGTTTCTTAAAAAAAGTATGTACTCAACTTTCTACACAAGTTCTTGGAAAAACATTTTTTTCATTGGTTCATACGCACTGCCATGTGACATGTTCTACATACATATGTATGTATTGGCATTGCATTCTGGAAGTAAAAAACAAACAAAAACATCGTTCGCAAAAGTTAATAAGTCAACTGTCTTTGTGGCGCTGAAAAAGTTTCTAATCCTTTCAATCTACGACGCTGCCGGGCCAACACTTCTGGCACTTTTTTCACATCCTTAATTCCACTGCTGCATCAAAGCTGATAGTGGAAATAAAAAGTAAAAAAAAAAAATAAAAAATAAAAAAAATTTCCCAACATGCATGCAAGCGTGCAAACCATAAGTGAAGTGAGTGCATATAAGCACACACACACACATACACAAACGTTGGCACTGCAGCGGTGGCCAGGTCATGGCCTTATCGCGCTCGTTCGTTAGCTCGTTGGCGCACTTACTTATAACAGTCATGCAGTCACATACATACACTCACCTTTATCAAGAAGGGCCAATCCAAATTCTGCAATTCGCGTGTGTCATCATGGCCGTGGCGTCGTTCATCCTCATTTTCATACAAGTCCACCGAATGCATTTTCTTGCCACCTTGGTCGCTGTTGTTTTTGTTGTTGCTGTTGTTTTCTTTCCCTTCACGCTATTTGCCAAAGCTATTGGCCTGCTTTCACTAAATAGCTAACTGAAAAGATGCTGCAGCCCCCAGCGTCAGTCAAAGCAATCGACGGTGAGTGCGACCTGTGACTTTGCTTCTTATTTACTTGCTACTTTTCGATTAAACTGGGCGTATTCGACGTGGCGTGCGTGAGTATGAAGATAAAATGTGGCGAAACTGACTGCGACGACAGCAGCCTAGCGTCGAGCGAAATTAATATGTATTTACAAAATGTTTATTTGGTTTATGATAAATTTTCTTGATGGATTTTCTATTTTTCTTTGCTCTTGGTCAAACACAATTTTTCAGTTGATAAATGCAATATTCGTTGTGATTTGAGCACTTTTGTGGGTTGGGCAGCGCGCAACGAAAGGAAATCTCAAGGAAAGTAAAATATTTACTTTACGTGAAAATTTTGGTTAAAGCGTCTTATCCCACACATCACTAATGGATACATATGTAAGTATGTACATAATTTTCGTTTTTCCGTTTGCCTAATTTTCATTTAATATTTTTCCAAATCATTAACTCTTCATTTCACTTTTCATTTACATTTTAAATTTGTTCATTTTTTTATCGCACACACTTCCTGCCCGTGTAATAACCTTTTGCGACTGGAAACGAACTCCTTCCCAACATTGTCCGCTCAGTCGCTTATTCGGCTGCAGGGACAATTCGCTTTTGTTGTGGTACGGTCAGTGGCACATTTTCCACCCTAAATAACGAAAATTTAACGAATGTGAAAAAGGAATTGTTTAGATGTGTAATACACTAATAAAAGGAGCGAACGAATGAGAATGAATGGGGTAATCCCAGAAGAGGAAACAGCGGCAAAACGCGCCGCTGACACTGGATGACTGGCTGGCTGGCTGGCTGGTTGCTTGGCAAACAAATTCCTTTATAACTGTAGATTGTTATTGTAGTGTGCCTATTGTTTTTATAAACACACCTCATGCTGTGAGGTTTGTTTTCAAGCGCTTCGCGTTTTTTTTTTTTGCTTGGCTATTATGATGTGCTTTCAATGGCTTCGGGTGGAGGCTTTAGTGAGACACTGAGTTAATTTTTGCAAAATGATTTATGAAATTATGTAGATAGGTTTTGCATTTTCCTGATCTTTTTTCAACATACATGTTTTTTATTTTTTATTTAATTTTGTTATTAAAAAGATTATTTTATTCTATCCCTACCTTTTTTTATTTATTTATTTTTTATTTGCGAGGTTTATCTTTTATGCAACTTTCAATGTTCTTTAAGGATATTTTGCATAAATCACTTCGTAGGATTGATCTGCAATTAATGCAAATATTTTTTTCTTCGTGATTATATTCTCTAACTATAAAACTACTGTTATATCTGCTGTTGTCTCTGTACCATCCACAAGTATGTACGAGTACTTATGTATGTATATTGTCGGGTCTGATTTTTCAGCTGTGCCTCTTGTACATACAGTGGTGGAAAAATAACTTTATTTCACTAAAATTTATTGGGCTATAAAACGGCATACTGAAAAATAAATTCTTAAAAAACTAATTAAAAAGTTAAAAATTTAGATGCAATTTTGCAGAATTTTTATAATTTGCACAAAGTTTGAAATATGAATTTATATGGTTTTTGTTAGATTATGGCTATACTTTTATAAAAAAGAATAAATAAAAAAAAAAAAAATAAACGAAAAATAGGAAAAATTTGTTAAAATGTCGTGTCCCTATTTACGTTACGACGTTTTTTAAATTTGCAAATAAATATTTTGTTCTAAAGATTTTGTTATCAAAGAATAAAAATTGTCGTTGTTTTCATTAAGAACAAAAAAAAATGTATAAGAAAATCTATTATACATACATATGTAACTATATTTTAATTCAGACGTACATACATATCGTCACCTGAAATGCAAAAAGACGTAACAGTCATTGTCGTTGAAATGCAAAAAGTCATAACTAATAAAAAATTCAAAATTCACTTTTTGATTTATATGATGGATTTCATCGATTACAACTCCCCACATCATTTTATGAAAAAAATTAAAATATTAGTCCCGACTTTTGCCATTCCATTTACGATGATGTTACGTCTTTTTGCATTTCAGGTGACGGTATGTATGTATACATAAACTGTATTTTTTTTATGCTATTTTTCTAAAGATTAAACAAAAATTTAGAATTTTCATGGTTTTTTCTTGATTGGAAGTTTGATACTTAATACTTGCAGTTTCAGGGATTGAACATTTTTTTGTTTTAATATTTTTCTCTAATTACTCATTTGCAAGTTTTTAATGTAATTTGTGTTTTTTTATTAATTATGACTGTTTTTATTAATTTCGTAATTTACAAATATGTACCTATGCCTTTAATATCTTTTGGGACTCCTTACTGGATTTTCTGTTTCGATTTTAAAATTTAGGCTTTTGTCGTCATAAATATTTATTTTTAATGGGTTCCTTATTTTCGTTGTAGTTTTTGGTTAAAAATTTAAAATTATTTTTCGAAATTTTATGCTTATTCATACTATTTGTGTAGAATTTTGATGTTGTGCCTTACTTTGAGGTTATATTTTTATTTGTGATATAAACATTATTTTTTTATTCTCACTGATTTTTTAAAATCTTAATTCTTGTTTTTCAGTTCTCTTTCAAGTATTGTTACCTACTAGTTTGGATCAGCAGTTGTTCCGTTATTTTCCCTTGAAATATTTCAAACTAATTAACTTTTTGGTTAATTATTGAAAACCCTAAAATTGTAAATCAGTCTAAATCACACGTTTTATTTTCATTATTATATGTATATAGTGCATGTAAGTTTTATTTTTCCCATCGTTTTTTACTAAATTTTCTTAACATTTTTAATTTACATAGCAATTTAACTTTACAGTTTGTTTATTAGACAGTCAGCTTTGCTTTGATTTTACACTTCTTTTCTCAATCGCCAATCTCCATGCTCATTTGCTCGCGGTTTCTTTTCTCATAGACGTCTACTTCTCCCACTCTTTACGCTTTCGCTTTCCACTATGTACTACTCACCTCCGACTGTTTTGTGTGAGAATTTTCTTCGTTCATCTTTTCACTCCACAATTTTCACACAACCAATGCAAGTTTTACACCTTCGCTGGTTTATTTTGTTTGCCAAATTTTATAAACAATTTCCCTTGCCTTATAGAAAATTTAATAAGCATTATTTTTCACATATTTTTTGCCATTTTGCAGCGCTTATTCCCCCACATGCGGAAGCTTAGTGTAGAGCGCACGAAATTACCGCACTATACCGTTGGTTTTGTTGTGGCCAGTCCGAAGGTCCTTTCGCTTCTATTCGCTTACAGGCAAAAACATTTGAGAAGTCAGCTCAACGATTGGGGGTATTTTGTGACTTTCGTTTGCAACACTGTTTTGGTGGTGATTTTTCCTAGCAACATTCGTGGTTGCAGGTGCTTTAAGCTTTTCATGGGTTCGATTTTGTATAACTGAAAATTATTTGCAAAGTTTTAAATTTTGCAAATTAGTTATGGAAAATAGTTGGTTTGTTGTTGAAAAAACACCGATTGGCAGTTCTTGCCCAGTTTTGCATTTGCGAAAACAACCCCCTACCTCTACCTTAACCTCTATTGTAGAATATTTTTTAACAAAAATGCACATTTATTTTTTTCATTATTCCAGCAAAATTTACTCAGTATTTCATTTTCTTTTCAATTCCTTGAAAACATATGTATGTATGTATTAAAAATCCATTATTCCAAATACTTATTTTATACAAAAAAAAATATCGCATATGCACAGCATCGAGTACAAAGTTGAGTGTTTACTCGCACGATCCATTCATTTACAACAATTACATGCTACTAGTACATTTACACAAACAAACATACATATGTATGTAAATAAAAAAAAAAACGTACATATGCACCTAGAAACTATTTATTCTTAAATATACAACCAGTTTTGATTTGTTTTTGCACAAATTGGTTAAGTAATGTCTTTTCTACGCCGTTTTATTATTATCAATTATCATTGGCCCATACACACATATTCAAGTATGTACGTACATATGTATATATTTCATCGAAACCGTCGAACCATCTTCACTTCTGCACCTACTTCTTTCCATGCCACTTGTACGAGCCATAGTATTTGAAATTATTCTCCGCCTTCATCAGATCGGCTTCCTTGGGACCACGCGAACCGAACACGTATGGAATGGGTTTCACTTTGCTCCTTTCGATCTCATGCAGTACAGGCGTGAAGATACGCCACGCTTCGCGCAACTCATCAGTACGCACGAAATGCATTTGCGAGCCACAGAAGACATCCAAAATCAGACGTTCGTACGCGTCTGGCAGATAAGAGTCCTTGTAGCGGTGTTCATAGGTCAAATCCAGCTCCGTCTCCTCAATATCGAATGTAATGCCGGGGCTCTTCGTCATCATTTTGAAATAGAGCGCTTCACCGGGCTGCACGCGTATGACAAGCTCATTACGCTTGCTATTGCCCTCAAAGATATCACCAGGCACATCGCGGTACTGTATGCGCACTTCGGCTTTGCGTTCGTTTAGCGCCTTGCCGCAGCGCAGTATAAAGGGGACACCCTCCCAGCGTTCGTTGTTAATGTGGAGCGCACCCACTGCGTAGGTGGGCGTATTGGAATCTTTCGAGACGGTCGGATCGTCAAGGTAACCTTCGCGCGCTTCACCTTTACCTTCGGGATTGCCCACATATTGGCCCAAGACCATATCGTCCAAAGTAAGCGGTGCTATGCTTTTCAGCACCTTGACCTTTTCGTCACGTATATCGTCAGGTTGGCAGGAACATGGTTTCTCCATGGCAACCAGCGATAGTATTTGTAGTAGGTGATTTTGCATGACGTCTCTTATAATGCCAAACTCATCAAAGTAACCGCCACGCCCCTGTGTGCCAAAGGGTTCCTTGAATGTGATGACTACCGACGCGATATTCTCGCGATTCCACGTCGAGTTGAGAATTTTATTCGCAAACCGAATGGTCATGAGATTTTGCACCATCTCCTTACCCAGATAGTGATCGATGCGGTAGAGCTGTTCTTCGAGAAAGAGCGAAGCGAGATGGTCGCTCAACTTCTTCGATGAGACATCGTCACGGCCGAAGGGCTTTTCGATGATAACGCGGTTCCAGCCACTAGAAAGAGAAATTAAAAAAAAAATGTTTAATTAAAATACCAAAGTTGAAGTGATTTACAAAAGATGTTTTGTGCTGATGAAAATGGAATAGAGAGGACCAATCGGCAAGATTTGCAGACCATTTGGTTGTCAGCCAAATAGAAAACCACTACAGGTTGTTTTCTAGGGATGAAAGAAAATGAGCTAATGTGCGGGACCCATCTGTTCAAGGGCTCTGAGCTCAGAAAATTTTAAGTTTAGTGTACCCGACCGATACCCATATTAACTTCATTAAAAATCAGTTAGAAGCGAAAACTAAGATTTTCCAGAACTAGTTTCGGTCTTATAAAGCTAGATAAATGAGTGCTGCAGGGACTCAAATTGCATTTTTCGGATTTTGACGAGTTCGTTTAGGAGATTACTGGTATTTAAAGGCCTCGGACCTTTGAAGCTTTTGCGCACGTTCTCTCGATCGTAAGCGAAGCGGTGTGTCTACTAGCATCACCTAAACGCTGTCTTAAGACATTTTCAGGAATTGTAGACGAATGATAAGGGTTTAATTTAAGCCTTTTCTTTCTTCGCTAGAGTTTCTCAAATACAACTAACATTTGCCGCACCAAAATTAGTGTTGCCCTGTGTAATCTAATATTCGGGAGTGATACGCACAAAAGTTGTTAGGAAATTTACTTTTTGGTTGTTGGTGTTTCACTACAGGGCAGAAATATGATGTATTTTTTAACGATTTTCTATCTTCCCTTACCATATTTGGTTTGTAGAAAAACCAGTTTCAGCGTTGTGCCACTTCCATGCGAAAAATTACACTGGCACAACGCCGGAACCCGTTTGTCTCCAAAACAAATTTGACAAGAAATTACGGAAAATCGTTCCATGATATATCTTCTTAGGAAATGTTAATTTAGTAGCCCGCTGCATGAGACTTTCTTCAAGCTTTCGAAGTTCCTCGGTAGATCAGACTTTTTGTGCATAAAATTGAGAATTGAAATAAAAAAAAACGAAGTCGGAAGTGTAAATATTGTAATGAAGTCTGCTGTAGATATACTATTTTATGACGATGCTGTGTTCACCTACCTTTGTGAAAGGCAAATCTCTTTGATATTCACTGTAACTTGCTCGAAAACCGATGGCGGCAAAGCTAAGTAAAATAGGCGATTACAACTACAACTGCAGTCTAAACGATCCAAATGGTCCCTGAAGGCAACGAAATCTGCACGCTGATCATAGCTACCCGCCTGATATGAATTCAATTGCCAGAACTCTTCATACTTTGCCTGCTCGTGTGGCTGCACCTGAATGGGGAAATTAAAAAAAAAAACAAAGGGTTAGATCATAAAACCCTCCAAGTGCTTTTGAAGGCTATGCAGCTATGCAGCGCACTAACCTTCATATATTGATGACATTTCGCCCGCAACTCCGCCACACTAAGCTTTGAACGTGCATAACCGCAAAATTTAGTTGGTTTCGGCAGCAAATTGTCACGGAATAGCCACCACAAAGTTGGATAGATTTTCTTCTTGGCCAAGTCGCCCTGCATTAAGCAAAGTATAAATAAAGGCGAAAAAGAATTAACATAATTATTGCTTTGGTTTTATTTTTAAAGTGTTGAGTGTCACTCACCGAAGCGCCAAAGATGACAAATGTGTGTGGCACTTGAGAATCGAAGTGTGTACCCTCGCATTTCATTGTCGGTGTCTCCAGTGATTTGATGATGTGCTCAAGTGCGGTTTCTTCTTCTGAAATGAGCGCAAATAATTGAGAAGGTGGTTAATTAATATATTTTTTTTTTCTTACAACATACACACAATTGATGAGAAAAATAGGAAATCAAGTGTAAATTTATTAATATCAGCTGATATTTACATAAAAAATCACAAATTTCACCTTTTAACCGTATAGGAGTTATGCACTATATGTACATATGTATGTATGTACTTCTATCACGCTTTCGATTCACCTAAGTTCTTACCACTTCCGCTTTTGATATAACCAACAAATTGACCCTTTCGCGGTGTTTCGAAAACTAAAAGGAAATATTGTAGCGCTAAACTTTGAAAGCTCATCGATCGAACTGATCGCTTATGTATCTATGTACATAGATACATACATATCTATTTTTATTTACACGTGCTCACATGTACATATGATGTATATACGTAAATAAAAATAAGCACATACATACATACATACATATGTATGTATATACTTTTCTCCATTCAAATGCTCTAATAGTTCAATACGAAATGCGTGACCAGACGTTACGTTGGGCACATAAGGGGTGCCACTAATTTATGCAGAGGGTGTTACCATCAAAGTTCTCAGCTAATTACGAGCGCGAATCTCTCAACCACTAATCAAATATCTTTAGCTTAGTAACTTTTTGAATATGTGCACATGTACATACATACATAAATACATATATACTTATACATACGCTAAAAGATATTATCTCCGGACTATTGACTTACTAGCTAACCAGAATGTAGTACCACAGCCACAAGCTATTTCGCTAGCTACATCAGCAATAATACACCACAACCACAGCTACATATTGTGAGCAGCTTAGAGCATTTAGAATATTTTAACTTTTGACAGCTCTCTTGCTACATGCCACAGCCTCACCATTCTGCTTAGCCAGTTAAGAGAACTGAGCTTTATATGGATTTCTAATGCTTTTGGAACCATGACGTTGTATTCTATGTAAATTCTTTATTTTGACCTATTTAGGGTTAACATAAAATATATTAATGTAGAAAATCTAACTTTTTTTGTATGTTACCGGATAACTTTGGACCGCGTGATGGGCTATAAAACTGGATACTCAAAAAATTCTAAGAAATCTGATTAAAAAGTTGAAAATTTAGATTGGAATTTTTATAATTTTTGCACAAAGTTTGAAATATGAATTTTTAGGGTTTTTGTTAGATTATGGGCTATATTTTTATAAAAAAAAAGAACAAATATTAAATAAACAAAAGAAAAATACGAAACATTTGTTAAAATTTCATGTCGCTATTTATTTTTCCACCACTATATGTACATACATATGTATATGTACATGTCTTATATGATCAATTTAGTCGTTAATATTCATTACTTAAGGGCCTAAATAGCACTGATTGTCCATAATATATCTAATAAATGTGCATACTCGTATATGTATGTATGTACATACATATGAACGGTGGAGAAAATATAAACAGGAAAGAGATAATTTAATTTTAGCAAGTTTTGGCTACTTTTCTTTGTTTAAAAAATGTTTATTATTTTTTTATGATATCTTAATATCTGAAGAAGCCATGTAAATCAGTATGTTAAACTTTGTAGAACATTTATAAAAGTTCGACGAATTTTAACAAATCGTCACTAAACACGAATAAAGGCGCGCCATTGTTTTGGCGGCGAAAAACGACGCGTTGATGAAACGTAAAAAAGGTTCGACTTTCACTTCAGCATTATTCCCTGAAACCAATTTGGGGAATGTACAAGCGCATGGTGTATACCAAATTTGGTCGAGATCGGTGTAGTAGTTTTTGAGATAAGTATATATTATATAAGTGGGCGGTGCCACCCCCATTTTCCTAAAATTTCTTGGGAAACCACTTCTTTGCTAAAGAGCGATTGTATATGTCAATTTTAAATAAATATTGATGAACCCTTTGCTGCTCAAAAAATCTGAAATTCCGCTATATACACACATATAAATTCAAGGCCGAATTTAAGAAAAGTCGCCTAAATTCGACAATTTTTATGCGATTGCAATAAATTAGGTATCAGTTTATTTGACAATAGATTTAATTTTAAATAGTACTCCATATTTTGAAACTGTAGAAATTATCGATGGTAAAAATTTTAAAAATTAAGAGAAATATGGGTCTTTTTTTAGTTTACCGGATAAAAAATCCCAACAAACCTAATCTGAAAATAGATTATTATATACAATTTTAAAGGCCTATATATCCTCTTCCCAGATCTCGATCTTTGAAATCGTATCAAAAATAGTCAGTGAAAAATTATCAATTGGAAAAAACAACCAACTTGTATGTAGTTAGCTTTAATTTTAATGAGCTATGACGCAACCTACTTAAAGTGAGTTGTAGAGTCATGCAGTTTCAATTTGAATATCCTAACGGAAATTCTTATATGGGTTCACCCACAGCAGAATGTTTAAACAGATATGTAATTTTAAATAAAGTATGTCCAAAAGTGGTTATTTATAAGTTAGTTGACACCAAATGCAGGGGAAAAACAGGACTGACTCTTTTCGGCCAGCGCCCCACAAAGATAAGTTAGTTTATTTCGAACAAAATATACAGAGTGTACAATAATAACTGTCGCACCGATTTTTTTTAATAAATGATCCTTTATAGATTTTGCGAAAAAAGTATTTACTTGTTAATTTTCCACAGATTTTACTTTAATTTTATTTATTAGTTTTTAAATTTGAACCTTTATTTGGGTTTACCAGCGGTCTTCGTCGATTAGTTTATTCCATATTTTCTCCATTTTGAGTCCTTTCTACTACCCTTTTTTTGTCTTTTTTTAAACACAGTGTAAGAAAAAATACACCTGAAAAAGACTTACATGTACTTATATCTCAAAGTTTACACTGCTGGCAAATGCAAATAAGGATTAATAATAATAATACTTTTTTTCTCAAAATCTATAAAGGACCCTTTTATTTTACCAAAAAAAAAAACCTGTGCGGCCGTTATTATTTTACACGCTGTACAGTAAATAGTCAGCACTAGTGTTCGCGTAAAAGTCAGAATTAAGCTAACACCACTTCCTGCAGGGAATGAACAATGTGGGTGTTCACACCAGCCTGGTTATCAGGTTATCTGGTTATGTGGTAATTTTTGTTTTATTATATAGTTCACAACAATAAACCACACTACAAAAAAAAATAATTTTTAAACGGATAGGGTGGTAACTAGGCAAGTGCGAACACCCACAATATTTAAAACAAAATAAAAATGAAATTGTAACTTGAAAATCATTGGGAATATTAAAAAAAAAATCAACATATAATACTTGTTTCAGTCGCTGTATATTTTCCCATACACTCTTGGCGTCAAACCATGTAAACTAACTATGCGCAACGCGTACAATTTGTTTATATGTGTTTATAATGTACTACATACATACGTGAAAAGGCTGTTATTGCAAAATGCTCCTATCGTTTTCTTATCAAAAAACGGTTTTCGTAGTTTTGTTTTACATGCTTCGTTAAAGTAGATAAACTATATTGATGACAACCCGTGCAATGCTTTAATGACAAGCATAAAATTCAAAATAAATTGAATCATGCAAGATAACCACATAGAAATGTTGAATAAAATTTTCTTTTCCCGCGACTTCGCCCGCAGTTACCGTTGAGAGATACTTTCAGTGTTAATTAAATTTCAACCTTTCCGGCAAATATAATGTAGAACATGACTATTAATGTATATATATATTAGTAGACAAAATTTGCCTTTTCATATTTCACCATTCAGTGAAACTCACTTAAGCGCTTTCTTAACTGCTTAAGTGGTCCCATACTTGCTTCCGTAAGTAGCTCCACTCTTAATTATCTAAAACTTAACTATGTATGTATATAAGTTTCTTTGGCACCAAATATTTTTTTTAACCGACTTCAAAAAAAAAATAGGCGATTATCAATTCGTCGGAATATTTTTTTTTTGTATGTTACCGCATAACTGTGATCCAAAGTCAACTGATTACTATTGTTATAAGAATAATAAGGTATTATTACTGGGAATCTCATGAAGAGAATCAGGGGTTTCCGGTCGAAAAATATTGATTTTCAAGAATTTTATACCAATTCTACGAAAAGTTGTTTTGAGCGACCTCTAAATATTTTTTGAT